GCCTTTGAAAGACAAGAGCAAGGCATTTGTCTCTCTTCTCCCTCCCTCCCTCCCTCCCTCCCTCACCAATCGCCCGTCGTCCCCCCGGCCCCACGACCACACATCCTTATCCTCGGTCAGTACGACGGTATGCCCTGTATATGAGCATGAGACAGGTCCATCAATCGATTTCATTTCCACACTGGTCGATGAAGGAGGGCCAGGTGCGGCAATGACTCGACGGGGGCGATAGAGAGCTTGTGGTGGTTTGTACCAAGTCGTACCCCCTCCCATTGCTTCTGCCCCCTGCTTCCAACCATCGCCGGCTTCTCTTTTTAACCAAATTAGCTTCTCTCCCTCCACGCCCGCCCACAGTACCTGAACCGCACGCGATCTGCACTACCGTGAGGTGCTTGAGGCCCTCAACAGGCATGGGCATTTCTTGGTCATTGGTGCTCCCATTCCCGCATTGTCCATCCTCTCCTCGACCCCAGGAGTATAGCATAGAGTCGTGTCGTGACTGCTGAATGGTGGGGGGATGTAATAAAGGAAGGAGTTACATGGGGAGGAGGTGTGACGGGGTCGCGCGCTGGGCAACTTCAGCCTGGCCACCATGCATGAAAGTACACAGAAAGGCACCTTTAATTTATGAAGCAGACAGCTATCAGGCTGAGAAGATGTGGCGAGCCATAGCACGTAGAGATAGAGCAATCAGCGCTTCCGGGGGGCTATCACGAATATAGATCTCCTAACTCGGAAAGCTCCGATTCTGCTTCGCAAGGCAGACCACGGTCCCCTCACTAAGGACAGCCCGGCCTCTCAAGAAATATAATAGACCGCTGTATGTTCTACAGGTGTGATGCGGCCGGCTTCTGTACGATATTGTGTCCATAACGCTCGCTTTGCTGTCGTCGTGGACGGTGACGTGATGGCGCTTTGACGTGGGGGTGTTCATGCGCCTATCCAATTGCCGATCTTAGAGACTGCCAAAACGACAGAAGTACTCGCAACACTTCTCAATGTACATGGCTGGAAAGTGCATGGCGAAGTCTTCTGTCTAAGCTTGTCATGGTCTTCCAAAACAGTCGACAAAGCAGCTCTTTATTTGCTGCTATGGTGCGTCAAGGTTGATGTTGAGCTCCGGCCCTGCATGGTCGTCGATCCTATATTTCAAAACCCATTACAAGGGAAAAAGAAGCCAGACTGTGAACCCCAAATATTTCCACACAGGCGATCCTTGGCATCTTAAAGGACCGCGGTCTGTGACGATCGTTCGCCTTGGCCTCTTTGGTTCGACTTTTCCGTCCTCTTTCTCTTCCTCCTGCTTCTTGACCCTCTTCATAGAAACCTCTACCTCTCTCCTTCGCCTATAAGGCCATTGGAGCAGCCATAACCACGATGCAACAAAGAGAAGAAGCCTCATCTCTGCCACGAGCTGAGGACGTTCACGAGAACGGCCTAAGTCAAAGTCAGGCGGCCGGTCATAATCATCAAGTCGAGGAAGACCGGGACCTCCTCACCATAGCTCAACAGGAAGAAATCGATTCACAAATCGCTGCTTCCCAGCCCTTAGTTGGACCGCTTGAACCCCCATCCATGTTGTTACAGGCATATAAAGATAACCCAGAGAAAGGCTTTGTGGAGGGCGTGGAGGACTTGGCGAGACGATACGCGAGAATGCGGCGCATCCGAAGGGATGGAAATTGTTTTTACCGGGCATTTTTGTTCGCGTATCTGGCCGGGCTGGTGGAAGAAGGGATCGAAGATGGAAGGAAAGGAGAAGAAAAAGAGGGAGGAGGAGGGAAAGGGAGGAAACGGGGCAGAAAGAAAGAATGGGAGCGGTTCTCACAAACAGTCAAGGACAGTAAAGCCTGGTTACTGACTGTTGGGTACGAAGAAGTGGCGATCGATATATTCTGGGAAGTTTTCGTGGAGGAGGTACGTGGCAAGGGAGGAAAGGATGGGAATGCCCCAATGGAACAGGAAGAGGGCTTGTGCGTGGGCTGTTGCAGGTGGTACTTTTCCCCTCGTTTCCGCCCTTATTCCTCCCCCTTAACCCCATTAAACAGTTGGAGGCACTCCCCCATAAAAGCCTGTCGGATTTAGAATCAACTTTCAACGAGCCCCACGGCGTGGCCTCCTACATGGTCTGGTACTGTCGCCTCCTGACTTCCGGGTATTTGAAGAAGCACAAGGAGGAGTACGAGGCCTTCTTGGATGCCAGGTAAGAAGCATAGAGGCGAGGGAGGGAGTTTTATTATAAAAAAACTGGTGTGGCGGATCCCTCACAAAGTCTTATGATCTGCGTCTTTGTGTGGGACCGCGCCCTGAGTCCTCCCCTTCAGTCCCGTCCTCGCTCTGTGCTGAGGGTGCGACACAGCGGGTGGGGCCACGAGTGGACTCCCTTTCCGGCCCGGTCTTTGCATGCCTGGAGCCTGCCATGTGTACATGCCCTTCCTTTTTGCTTCCCACACTCTGCTGCCACCGACACGCTTATGTCGCCCCTCCCAGGGGGGGGCTACCGTCTTGCAGTCCGGCCCCGGCACTGATCTAGACCGCTTGGTCCATCTCTTTCATACTTTTCCCAACATCCCTGGGGCGCACTCACAGCTACCGAGACATGGACGACTTCTGCGTCCGGGAAGTGGAGCCGACGGGCAAGGAATGCGAGCAGGTGCAGATCATGGCCTTGGTCCGGGCCTTGGGCGTGTGCGTCCGCATCGAATATCTGGACGGGAGAGCGTTGCCGCCAGGGGGGCAATTGCCCTGCCACGTTTTGCCTGACGAATGGGACGGTGGAAAGGAGGAGGGGGTGCCTGTGACGTTGCTGTACCGGCCCGGGCACTACGATCTGCTGGTCAAGTGAGCTGGGGGGGTCGCTGTGGAGGCGCAGAAGGGTGTGTTTGGAAAAGAAGTGGTGAAAGGGGGCGAGCAAATATGCAGGCAGTCACAGGTAGCGAAAGAACAACGACGCCTGTTGGTCGGGAGTATCGATGCAAGGTTTTGTGACAGCAGCTCCATGTACAGGTCAGACGCGGAGGGCAGACAGTGCATAGTTTGGCGGGATTGGGACCTCCATCTATCCGGGAAAGGCCCCGAAGCCATGCCATCCGAGGGATGGTGCGCTAGTCTCTTGGCAGATAGTGTGCCCCAGGGGAATGAAAATAGCAGAATGTCATTGTGGTGGCGGGCCCCATTTCCTTTTCCTGTTTAGCCAAGTACCCTTTCAATCTCGTATCCGACTTTGTTCATATTGCTCCAGCGATGGTGGATTTCAATGAAGACAAAGTTCCGATGAATGTTATTTTTATATTGTTGTGAAGGTGATCTCAGACTTTGCTTATAAAATGCATACAAGTGCACCTGGTAATCAAGCATCTAGCTAACTCGAATCTTTGTGCGTGTAACTTGGCTGCTACTACGAGTACAAGAGAGCCGCACGGTCATTGACGCTCGATCGAAGGCATGATTTGTGGGTAATTCAAGGTAATGGGAGATGCCTCCGTCCATCACAGCTGGTATGGGGGCAGGTTAGAGTGAACCTAAGAAGGGACGGCCCATGGGGAGGATCTCATTTGTTCCCAAAAGCGGTACCCTCGAGCGCATCTGTGGGATATGATTGCTGTATGTACCCACTTAATGGAATGGGCTATGAGAAGTATGATACAGGGAAAAGCCATTGACAATTGATAACATTTTAAAACAAATAAAGGTCATCAACCATTGACCTCTCTTACGACAGAAACATCGCGGGGAGTGGATGTGTGTTGGTGATATGTCAATATAAAAATATTTAAAACCAGTACACTTGTGCACGCGCAACTCCGTACTACTTTCGTAGTTTCTGGATTCATTTCCTGTCATGAATTTGAGCCCTTAATGCGACACGGAGGCCAACTTAATAAGACGGAGTGGGAAGCACGATGAAAGAAGAGGAGAGAGCGAGGATGCAACGTGCGCGTATTCGACTTTTCGGAAGCTAGAGCTTCGCCATCCAGACAACAGACGAGGGTTGAGTGTCCACATCTTCCACGCGCATTCATGCTCAGCAGGCTGTGTTAGTCATGAAGCCATCTCTTTTCCTCTTGTCTTTCTTCTTAAACCTCCTGATGATCTTACTTCCCTCCTTCCCCATAACCCATCGCTTCCAGACCGGTACACACTGGACAGAGTCCCTGAGGAAGCGTGAAAAGATGACGGGACGTGGACGCGGCAGGGGTATGACGTTGCCAGCGTAAGTACATAGGGCTTGGCCTTCCTTTTTGTCGGCCTCACTCACGACACTCGACCTCTCTCATCTGCCCCTCCATTTCGTCGCTGCCGAACTGGTCTGTCCGAGGACGGGAAATTTCACGTGTCACCCGTCCTCCGATGATTTTAAGAAATTGAAGATGTGAAATGTAGATGCCTAGAATGCAATGCACTGACGCGTATTTTAAAACTTCAGGTGGATGACTAAAGAAGGTGGGCCGACCCAGACTGCGGAGGCGCGCGGCAGCAGCAATGGCGACCACGGTGGCAGCAATACAAATCCTCTCGGGGGACTCCAAGACCATGTCTCCACTACGAATGTGCCCCAGGGAGGCCGACGGTCCAGATGGGAAGCTGATCAGCCTTCCCAGGCTGCCCCTCCTACATCGGCTCCCGCCCAACATTCCAGTATCAAACAAGCACCGACGCCCCCCCCAGCGCGAGCAGCCTCCCCTTCTCCTGCCAATGCCAATCCTACGACCATCAGCGCGCCGCCAGTGCTGGGAGCTGCACCGTCCTCAACCACACCGGCCTCGGGCGAAGGCACCGCTTTGGCATCTGCGGCCTATGGGAGCTTATCCACGTCTGGAACCAATGCTCCCACCGCCAGCACGGCGGGCTATCCGCAAATGCACATGCAGCATCAGCAGGCCTACGGCAACTGGCAACATCCCCTCCAGCACCCTCAGGGTCAACAAGACTACTACCACCAGTATTACCAGCAGCAGCAAATGGTACGTCCTCGGAAACGTATCTCGGTGGATTCAGCTGCCTCGTTCTTTTCTTCTTCCCTTTCTCACGATGCAATCCCCCCTTTTCTCTTCACCTCTCTTAGCAGCAGCACCAGCAGTACTACGCCCAGGCGCAACAAGCGGCTGCCTACGCCGCTGCCATGCCTCCTGCTCCTGCCCCAGCGCCCGCTTCGGCCCCTCCACCGGTACCTCCTGAAATCGCGGACAATGTGGAGGAGGGCTATCAACCCGTCTACGACCCCAAGACCCAGTACTGGTATTTTTGGAACGCGGCGTCCAATCAGGTCACGTGGGAGAAGCCTTTGAAAGACAAGAGCAAGGCATTTGTGCCCCCCCCGCCACCGGGATCGCCACCCAAATGAGAAAGGAGGGGAGGAGGGGAAACGGAAAGGAAGAATGGGGTAGGGCGCCCGGGGGAAGGATGGTAAGATTCCGGCACGACAAGGACATGAACTGGTGCCAATCTTGTGGTTGTTTCTTTTTATTCTTACTTCGTGCCACAATGCCAAACACATCCCGGAGGCACCGTCGGGCTTCCGCTGTAGACGTTGCTTTGCTCTTTCTCTCGTACACGCGCCTGCTCTCGCGATGCCCGCTGATCCCATGCGCCACCCATAATACCTCTAATTGTACACCATGTATTTGGGCGTCGCCGAGAATTTCTGATATCCTTTGATCACCTGGGGCAAAGAGTCATCAATTAGTAATCAGCATACCTGCGCAGCAAGTCTACCTTCTCTCCTTCCCCCCTTGGCTTCCACCTCATTCATTCCATCCTCTATTCTTACCTTGTTGACACTGTCCATGAAATCCTTCTCGCTAATGCTCTTTTTCCGAGCCCGGATCGCAAACATCCCAGCCTCCGTGCAGACACTCCGTAGCTCTGCCCCCGTCGTGTTGGGGCACAAACGGGCAATCACCTCAAAGCGGATGTCGCGGTCCACATTCATGGCCTGTCGGGAAAGAGAAGGGAGGAAGGGAGGAAGGGAGGGAGACGATTGAGGTCTTCGTACAGTCTGGCAGAGGAGAAAGAGCGGGGGGGGAAAGACGAGCGCGTGGTCGCTCTAGGCCTTCACTGGGAAAGCCGTTGGGTCCGAGGTAAGAGAGTCCCACAAGACATAAGTGGTGGCAAGGCAGGCGGGAACG